AATTTTTTAAATAATAAAAATAAAAATATATCTAAGTTCCTGCTCTTATAGAGCTTACACTGTAGTGGAAGAGGCAGACAAAAACAAACCAATAATTTATAATATGTCGGTCCTAAAAAAAAAAATGTAGGGGAAGGGGGATAAAGGAAGCTGTGTGCATGTGCATGAGTGTGTTATTTTATATGGGGTTAAAGAAGGCCTCACTGATTCAATGATATTTGAAAAAGGCCTGAAGTTCCTGAAGGAGTGAACTAGGTGGGATAAGGTAGTTCTAGGCAGTGGGAATAGCAAGTAAAAACATCTTTTATATAATTTTTTATGTAGAAAATCCAAAAAATATACATCATTAGAACTAACAAGAATATTTGCCAGGGTTGCCAGATACAAGATAAATATTCAAAAACTGCTGGGGCTTCTATGCAATAGCAGCAACCAATTAGGACACAGAGTGTGAAAAAGAAAAAGATTTCATTTACAATGGCAACAAAACCAACATAACTATGACTAAATGTAACAGAAGATACACAAGATCTATGTAAAAATGAATTATATATCTTTACTGATCTAATAAAACTGAGTCTAATAACATCTAAAAATAATATCTAAATAAATCATTTATGTTTATCAGTGGAAAGGCTCAGTGTTGTAAAGATAGTGAGCCTCCACATATTAATATAGAAATTAAATGGAGGGCACCTGGGTGGCTCAGTCGGTTAAGCGTCTGCCTTCGGCTCAGGTCATGATCCCAGGGTCCTGGAATCGAGTCCCACGTCGGGCTCCTTGCTCAGTGGGGAGCCTGCTTCTCCCTCTCCCTCTGCTGCTCCCCCTGCTTGTGCTCTCTCTGTCTGTCAAATAAATAAGAAATCTTAAAAAAAAAAAAAAAAAGAAATTAAATGGAATTCCAACCAAAGGCACAGCAAGGCTTTCTGACGAAACTTGGTAAACTAATCTTAAAATTTGTATGACAATAAGGGCCAAGAATACCTGAGACAATTTTGAAGAGGAACAAGAGGATAGGGAGATACTTAGCCCTACTCTATTAGGGTGACAGTAGCTGAAACAAACCTCAACATCTTTATGACTCAAACATGATAAAAGTTTATTTCTGGCTTTATAAATCCAAAATGTATGTTCCTGATCAGTGGGCATCTCTCCCTCAAGCAGCAAGTTGTAGACCCAGTCTTCTTCCATTTCTGGTTCCCATCTTTCAAGGTCACCATGCACGCTCGCATCAAGCTGGTGGAAAAGGAAAGAGAATGAAGGATCATGAATGGAAGTTTTTGTAAGCAATGCCTCGAAATGGTGTACGTTGTTTCCATTCACATCACTGGCCAGAACTCATTCATGTGGCCACACCTACTGCCAGGGAGGCTGTGAGACAGAGCCCAGCTGTGGTCTCAAAAACAAGAGGAAACAGGTATGGTGAAAAGCTAGCCAGTCTCTGTCATACTTGCCATATGTCCAGATTTCTTATACAGATATTATCATCTAAACTGTGTAGAGTGGCACAGGGATAAACAAATAGATCAACAGAACAGGAAACATAGCCCAGAAACTGAATTACACAAGTATTGGAAGTCCCTATATGATGGGGATAGCTTCACAATTCAGGGCGGAAGTGCGGAACCATGTAATGTATGGTACTGGGACAACTGGCCATCTCTATGGGAGTCAATGTAAAATAATATGTATGGAAGGCCATACACAAAAACCTAGATGACTTGAGGTCCTAAATGTAAGAGAGCAAAGACTTTAAAATAATTAGAAGAAAGTATCAGAGAATATCTTATGGTTTTGTTTAGGGAAAGATTTCTTGAACATGGGAAAGACAGAGAGAAAGAAGGGAGGAAACACCAACCGTGGAGGAAAAGACTGATACATTTGACTCTCCTTTCTGCCTCATTGTTTTGTCTATTACTGTGCCCAAACCACTGTAAAGAAAGATGTCCTCAATGAAAAAATTTTTTAAATCACAAGAGGAAACATTCCCAAAGTAGAAAACTGTAAAGGATTAATATTCAGGTTACATAACGAACTTCAATAAGATAAAGGCATACAACCAGCAGAAGAGTGGATAAAGGATATGAATAACTAATACGCAAAGGAAAAAATGGAATTTCCTATGAAAAATGAAAAGATGCCCAACTTCACTCATAATTATGGAAACACACACACACACACACACAAAGGTCAACAATAAGATACCAGATCACATCAATGAAATGGGCAAAAATTTAAAAGTCTGGCAGTACCAAGTATTCTTAGTAAAGATGTGGAGAAATGAAGACTCTTGCACACTGTTGGTGGGAGACAAATTAGTGCAAATACTTTGGAGAGCAATTTGGAAATATAGCTTGACAATATACACATCCTGGGACCCAGCAATTCCTCCCCTTAGTATATGCCCCAGAAACATTTTGCTCCTAGACACAATGAGACATGCTGGAGGATACTCATTGGAGGATTATCTACAGTTGCAACAAAATTAAGAAACAATCTGTTTGTCTACCAATAGCAGAGTAAATAAAGAAAGTATGGTGTTTTTGTGCAATGGGCTATTCTTCTTCAGGTAAAATGAATGAACCTGGGCTACATGTAACAGCACGAACAAATCTTGGGAAAATAATGTTGAAAGCAAGTTGAGAATGATCCTGTTCATGTAAATATGAACAATGGCAGGTAACAGCTCATTTAAAAATTAAAAATATACAAAATAATACTATACTTTTATGGATAGCTACATAGGGAACGTACAAAAATGTGGATGGGCAGGACACACACCAACTTAGTTACGTATGAGTTAGTGCCAGTGAAGAGAGTAATGAAAAAGAATTAGGATGAGAGCAAAATCAGATAGAAGTAATATGGCAAAATGTTCATGGCTGCTAAATATGGGTGATGAGCAGAAAGGTTTTATTATATTACCCCCTATTCTTCCATATGTGTGAAATATTTTAAAATTTTATTTTTTAAAAATATTTTATTTATTTATTTGACAGAGAAAGAGATAGCGAGAGCAGGAACACAAGCAGGGGGAGTGGGAGAGGGAGAAGCAGGCTTCCCTCAGAGCAAGGAGCCCAATGCGGGGCTCGATCCCAGGACCCTGGGATCATGACCTGAGCCGAAGGCAGACGCTTAACGACTGAGCCACGCAGGCGCCCTATGTTTAAAATTTGAATAAAATAATTTCTAAAAATCTTAGGGAAGGATTCTGGTTGGTCTATCCTTGATCAGTCGCCCATTTACGAAGCAATCAACTGGAAGAAAATTGCAGTTCTGGGTATAGCTATATATACGCAGAATTCTGGGGATGCAGATAGTGTCCTTGAGAAGGAAGAGAAGTAGCACAGGCAATACCAAAGATGCCTACGCTGTGCTGGTCCCCGGGGCATAAGCAGCCAGGATATCTGGGATATTAACCCAGGAACATATTAGAATCCCCAAGGAGCTTCTTTCAGGAATCAAACCCAAACCTGCTGAGTCAGAATTTCCCAGGCATTCACATTTCCAAAAAGCCTGCCAGTTGGTTCTGATGGGAAATCTTAAAGAATAATCATCTAAGGCCTTGGGTTCAAACCACAGGGTTGCATCCCTGACTCAGGTGAGCAGGGCCCAAGCTTTTACCCACCTAACATGTGCCTGGGTAGGGACTCCTTCAGTTTGAGAGACAGCCTGTGGACAAAGGAGAGGACACACATAGGTAGACTAGTTTCTAGGAACGCCCCATTTCCAGACTTCATCCTCCAATAATACCCTTGACCTTAACCACCCACCCTGGTTCCTCTGGAATTTGGCAATAGGAGGTACATTGGGGAGAGAGGAACTTGAGCTCCCCCTAGAGGCCAAAAGTGTTAATGTTGGTGATTCTCCAAAGCTCTTCTGCGTGGTTAAAAATAACAATAAGTAAAACAATGGCTTCCAGGGCAATTACTAAATGCCAGACACTGTGCAGAAATGAAGTGCCTAAAGTCCCTAAACTAAGGGGTGGCAAATTCGGGATTCGAACCCAGGTCTGTCAGACTCCCAGAGCCGTAGCATGGGGAATCTTGAGTCATTAAAGATCCTCCACAGTGTGGCAGCCACCAGCCTCCTCTCCTTACGCCTGCCCGCAGTGACACCCTAGAGTCTACTCTTCTCCAAGTACACGGAGCATCACGTGGTGGCTGTGATGCTGTTGATGCCCTCATGCCCTTCTTATTGTTGCCTTCCTGCCTGGTGTCCCCTGAGTATCCTTCCTACCAAAACATCTACGTGGCAAGTCCTAATTGTTCTTCAGGGCTCTGCAGAATGTATAACGTTGGTTGCTTACCTGTCTCCCCCATTCCGCTGTGCACTCCCAAGAGCGGGCATCGACTTACTCATCTCTGTGCCCCCAGCTGATGAGCGGAGTGAGGGGGTGAGCGAATACACGAATGAGTGAACGAATGAATGGTATTGGCGATGACAAGCAAATGGCAGCAGTGGCAGAGGGGGATGCGTGCCTGTAACCATAGTAACGATGATGTTGCTGTGTGATAGTGCTAGAGGTTGGTAACCATGGCAACACTGACAGTGAGGCCTGTTTGGACAGTACTAGCTCTGTCCACTGCCCGTCCATGCCAAGCCTGACCTGCTCAGGGGCCAAACAGGGTGATGCACGCAAGCAGCAACTGTTATCCTGCTCCCAAGACCCCCCGCCCCTCCCCAGGGCTGAATTTCACAGTGGTCGCATCCTCTTTCTGAGTGACCCATGAGACTCCTGGAAAACCGTGTTGGGGACGAGGGGGTACAGTCTGCCTGGATGTGTGTATATGTGCGCAGGCAAGAGGCAGCTGGATGGGCAAATGTGTAGGGTGTAGCTTGCGCTCAGGCTAGTCTTGTTCTCAGGGGAAGGGTCTGCAGCAAGTGTATTAGGGGAAGAGGGACAGCCCCCTATATGAGTGGGGGGCAGCGCCAGAGGCGTGGGGGCAGTGTGTAGGGAGGGAGGGCATCAGCCCATCGCGAGCGTGGCCGCAGTGCGCTGTTTCTGGGAGGGGCGACGCGGTGTGTGTGCGTGTGTGTGCGTGTGCGCGCGCGCGCGCGCTGGCGCTCTGTCGTGGGGGGCGGGGTTCCGGGGCTGCGGGGCGGGGACCCTGGCCGCACCGCCTGCGCGGCTGGGGGTGGGGGGTGCTCCGCCCCATCCATCACCCCGAGCGCAGCGAGCGAGGCGGATATCACTGTGTCACGGGCGACTTCGCTCGCAGATCTTATCCTCTTCATTTCCGCCTGAGCCCAGCCCGCCCGCGCTGGCTCCCTGAAGGCTCCATCCATCATGGGGGAACGCGGGGGGCTGCACGGGGTGTGGGGGGGCCTCTCAGACGGCGCGGAGAGGGAGGGGCAGCAGGAACCAGAAGCACCGTCCGACACCGGAGGAAGGACAAGTGGGGGCTGGGGGGACCTCTGAGTCCGCGCTTTCACGTGGAGGAGGGGACGCTGTCTGCCCCGGAGCGGACGAGGGACAAGGAGTCAGCCGGGGCCCTAGCCGGGGACACTCGGCAGGTTGCTGGGGTCCGGACCCCTGGGTGCCTGGCCTCTCTCTCCCACGCTGAGGGGCAGCGTGGGGAGCGGGGAGCGTGACTGCATCCCAGGCCTGGGGAGGGGGTGCTGAGCGCGGGGCCCGCACCTGGACCCTGCGGGGCGACCCGGGGCCCGGGCCGCGCGGGCGGGGGCGGGCTCCCCGAAGAGAGGCCTTATTTCATTTCCCCGCGCTGCTGAGGTTTCTGCGCAGTGTCTCTCTCACCTCTTTAAATTTTACGGCGCTTGGCTTGTGGCCGCCGGGCCCCGCCCCGGGGAGGAAGCGGGTGCTGGGTCTGGGAGCCTGCCCGGGCCGAGAGGTGGCCCCAGCAGGCAGGGCGCGGGTCAGGCCCGGGGCGCCCAGACTCTGCAGGGGCGCCCGGCCTGCGACCCCCCTGTGGTTCCCTGGGACCTTCCAGGAAGGGGGTCTGGGCTGTCCTGGCCCAAGGGGCGGGGTTTGCCGAGGAGCGCCTCAGGCCTGGCCTCGTTCCCTTTTCCAGACTCCTGGGCTCGCCGCACCTCCCTCCTCCTCCTCCCGGAGTGTTGGGGGGGGTGGTGGTGGTGGGGACTGCTGGAAGAGGGAATAAGAGGAGCAAAAATAGATACCAGCCTTGGGGCCCCAGTCGCGTTGCCAAATCCACCCCCCACCCCCCGCCAGATTCCCCTGGAAGCAGGATGGTGCCCCCAAGTCCAGAAGCAGGGTCAAGTACACAAACTTCTGGTCGCTGAGGGCCAGGCCCAGCACCTGCTTGGAGACGAGGTTGGGGGCTGGAGATGAAGGGAGGAGAGTGAAGAGGCCACTGGCCCCCACAGGGTTCCCTCAGGAGACCGAGATGACTCCCTGCCAGGGTCAGTCTGAGGGAGGGGAAGGAGTGTGGCCCTGCTTGCGGGGTGGGGGGGTGAGGGAGAAGAGGGGAGCAGGAACAGCGGATGACTGTGAACAAGAGAGGGGGTGTGAGGGAGAGAGAAGGGTGAGCAGGATGTGTGAGGAGGTGGAGTATCTGCGGATCCCATTAAGTGGGGGAGACACTGCCCATAGAAACAGCCAATTCAGGGAGAGTTGCGATTTGCACACAGTTCTGTCTGACTCCAGAGCCACCTTTCTTAGATTTGCAGTCATCACCTTGACTTCTCAACAATTCACTCCTTATTAATAGAGCCCCAGTCTGCACCACCAAACAGCCACCCACACAACTGTGACAAGTACATAACCAGAAGGAAACAAGGCACAAAACAGAAATTTGGCTCCACTGGCCTGGGAGACACCAGCTGCCCAGGATGCCCCTTGCAGGGCCTGGGGGACACCAGGACTGGTGCAGTTCAGAGCAGGGTGGGGGGAGGGGGGCTGTGGGGGCAGAACTGCAGCTGGAACTACCCCCCTGGTGGCTAAAGTCTGCTGGAAGCTTCCAGGCTGAAGAAGGCTCTGAGACATTTTTTTTTCCTCCATTGACCTGGAGAGGAAATGTCCTGGATATCACACTCTAGGGAGCTCAACCACCAGCATCTTTATGAGGAAAATTGGTCACCTCCCCATGACCCAGCCAAGGACTGATATGGCCGCCCCTCCCCTATCCCACCCCTGCTCCTGCATTCCGTTGGTCTCCTGGTTAATGCTCCCATCTTTTTCACGCTCCTCACGTACAATCTCTCACCACATCCCATTGATTTACCCTTCTAAACATCTCTCAGATCTGTCCCCTTCTCTCTCATCCCTGCCACTACATCATCCCCAGCTCCTATCCATCCTCCATACTGTGATGACAGTTGGGCCATGTCATACCCTCGTAAAACTCTTTAAGGGCTGCCTGTTGCTCCCAGGATAAAGCCAGAGTTCTCAGCATCCCGTTCAAGGTCTTCAAGCTCTGGCCTGACTCCCCTCTGCGGCCACCTTTCCTGCTTTCCTTGCCTGGCTTTCCTAAAGTCACGTTGATCTTGCCTGCTTCTGAACCCATTGCATGTGATTTCCTCTGCCTGCCAGGTGTCCTTCCCTCCTTTCTCTACAGGACTGGATTCTCGTCACCCTTTGAGGCCCGGCTCACATGCATCCTTCTGCTCAGGGAAGCCTTCCTGGAGAGAAAGCCTTTTCTGTACTCTCCTGACCTCTGTGCTCCCTTGTCCCCTGGTTATAATTGGCTGTTAGGGCATGTCTGGCTCTTGTGCTAGACTGATTGCTCACTGAGGGCAGGAGTCCTCATTTATCACAGGAGCCCGAGTACCTGGCGGAAGATGCATGAGGGATTGCTGTTGAACGAGAAAAGGGAAACTGGTATTGTTGGGGACCTAATACCAGGCTGCCCCCAGCCTGTTTCTAGACTTGCTTGGACCTGGGGCCCTGAGGCCCCCCTAACTGGGGTGTGGGTGAGGAGAAAGGGGCTGGTGAGTAGCTTGTTTGAACATTACCACTTCACACAAATTTTCTTTCCTCTGAGCCTCCCTCACACTGGCCCTCAAGGCTGCAGAAGACCTACCTGTAATGAGGTCTCAAGATTCAGAAACGTTCACTCACGGCCTGTGGCTTTTGCATCTCATAGGATGACTGGTTGTCATGGCAACCTGAGCAGGAAGTGCCTGCTGGCTCCCTTCCCAGGGTGGGAGCAGCCGGCTGAGTGCCCTGTACAAGGCGCTGGTTGAGCCAGTCTGAGATGGTGCTGAATGACTGGGGCCTGCCCACTCTGAGCCAGACGGGGTCTCCTCATTCTTTCCCCAGCAGAAGCTGGGGAGCTCACCCCAGAGTGTTGGCCTGGGCCTGCACCACATGCTCCAGGGCGGCAACCCTGTAAATATGTTTCTTTTCCTTTGGGGACCAGCAACCCTCTGGTCAAATACTCATGCTTGGGAGTCAGACAGAATCCCTTCTAGCCTTGCCTCTGCCACTGGATGGCTGTGTAGTCTTGAGCAAGACATTTAATGTTCTGAGCCTCAGTTTCCTCATCTATAAAATGGGGGTAATAGCATCATGGGATTTCTTTTGGCCAGATGGTGAACTAGTGCTCTGAAAGGCCCTCCCACTAAAATTCAACTAGATTCTGCATGAATTACTAAAACAAAACAAAACAGATAAACTAGCACTTTTAATGCATTGCTGGGTTTGTTGGAAATTAAGTGAAATCTCCCCTAAATACCTTCTGCCAAGAAAAGCACAAGACAATGGGGAACTGAAACTAAAGCATTGGAGTGGTGATAACAGGTTAACAGGAAAATTAAGCTGAATGTTGAAATAAGTGCCGTGATAGGCAAATTAAGTCAAGGGCAGAAGCAAGGTGAGAAAACAGCATGAGACCTCTGCATTGAGCCAGGGTCTCTTAAAGGTGGTTGAAGTAGCTCCAGGTTAATAGCAGCCCCTGACTCCTGGCAGAAACAAGCGCATCTCAGGAGGAAGGCGCCTGCAACGTAGGCCCCCAGGATTCTCACAGATTAAAATCAACAAAACATGGGGCACCTGGGTGGCTCAGTCAATTAAGCATCTGACTCTTGGTTTCTGCTCTGTTCATGGTCTCAGAGTCTTGAGATCAAGCCCCGCATCTGGCTCTGCGCTGAGCTTGGAGCCTGCTTAAAATTCTCTCTCCCTCTTCCTCTACCCCTCCTACCCCTTGCCACACCCCCTCCCCTGCTCACATGTGTGCTCTCTCTCTCTCTAAAAATATATAAATTAGGGCGCCTGGGTGGCTCAGTC